TCCCCGAAATTATGGTTTAGGTGTCATGCACCGAAGTTTACCGCATGGAATATACTATCTTTCTCTTCTCTCCACCATAAAGGATAGGCATTCCCTCAACGGGGTTCTTTTGGCCTCGATCACCAAAGGCCGCTGTAGCTTCTTCTTTTTCAACCCTTTCTCCTTTATGATCTTTAGGACCCGATATACCCGAGCTGAGAGAGTCTCATGCTCTTTCTTCCTTGTAGGGATTGGGGCTTCAGGCTGTTGATCCCAAAAATATTGTTTTAGCTCCCCAGTAGAGCTATTTCTCTTTACCCACTTCAAGTTCGAGAACCCATTATGGGTAGGAATGGTTACTTCTGGCTCACGGGCCGAGAGGTTGGATGGGTACACTGGAAGTAGTTGTTGCTGGGCTCATAGCTCAGCGTTCTTTTTTCTCCTTTGCCTTTTGGTGAGCATTCCTCCAAATGAGGAATTCTCAACATCATTCTTCCCGAGTGCAAATAACCTGGTCGATAGGCGTGTGGTGTCTGAAGTCACCACAGAGACTCTTCTACAATTCATAATTCTCCTGGTGGTTAGGGCCTCAAGCTGTGATAGCCTCTCAAATATAGAAACACTCTTACAAGGATTTTCAATAATAGGCCATTATGTTGACAGATGCACATGACAGGTTGGAGCTTTATCAACTTTGAGTCTCTTGGCAGACCTCTCAGCATTCCCACCATTTCCAGGAATGGCGGCAGTCTTTGCAACGACTACAGGGAAGTAAACGCTTCCAAACTAGATGGTTGCCTCGGTATTTCCAATTTTAATAACAACATTTGCCATCTATATCCTATCTCCTCATCCCAGCTGGACCATCATCGAGGTATTTTGTAGATCCATCTACATAAATGAAAGGCAAGGGTTAGCAATCAAAATCTGATACATCACCCCATACTTTTAAAATATAGAGACTTGTATATAATATAAAAATAAAAATAAACAAAAATGATTAGAATAAACAAGTAATAAAAATAATTTTAAAAACTCTGCTAAATGCCATATGAATTTTCTGAATTATCATTTTAGAAAATTCAAAGTTTTGATTTGTTAAATAATCATTTTGAAAGACTCAAAATTTTGAGTACGAGGTAATATGGCTGTTACTATAATATAGAGATGACTAGCCAAAGATGGGAAGAGAAACCATTCTCCAAAAGAGTCATAAAAAATTTATGGGCTCCAAAAATTAAGCCCCAGCATTCGCCCGACTGATCACTTTTTCTTTGGCGAGGGGAGTTTTAACGAACTACGTTCCGGGGTAAATTTTGGAAGGTAGATGGGTTTGTAGATAAGATACTACCCAAAGATTTCACCCTCATTTTGTGAGGACTTTATGATCTGAGTTCTAGTTTCCTATAGGCACAAGCCCCTATAATTAATTAGCCCTCCCACTAACAAGAGAGAACATTTGATTAAGGCTAGTCGTCAATCAGATATGTATAAATAACGTGTTATCTGGAATATAGTAGTAGCATGGGTATGGAATTAAAAAATGAGAAGTTTTTTATATTTAAAAATGAAAATTTCACCATCTTGTACTTAAAGCGAATGGTGGGGGAATGAATGATAGACCCGATCAAGATCCCATGGTTCCATCATCCTGGGCCATCGTGGTCCTTGGTCTACTTAGTTAGAGTAGGTAGTCAACCCAACCTGATAGAAGAATCCTTGTCAGCAGTCATGGGTTACTTCGTCCATGGGGACCTTATAGACCTGCGGTGTATGTTTGTCTAAGGGGACAAATTTGAATCCACCTTAGATGATAGAGGGCTTTGTGCCCTATCGATTATATCCTATTGATTCATATCTCAAGGATTTGATGCCACTAAGGAACATATTAGCTCTATTCATAACTGGTATTTTGTGGTTCAATTTGGCGGCAAAATCACTCGGTTCAAATGGTCACAGGACATAACCGTTTATCCTTCAGTGTCACTTGGTGGTAAAACCGCCAGTTAGAGGATACGTACCACATCTTTATTTGCCAGAAATTATTTGAGAATATATCTTTGTGGTATTTTTGACTAGGTATTAACTTTATGTGAGCTGAAGTTATATTTGAATTTGTCCACCTCAGCAAACTGTTGCGGAGGGTGGAAGAATTTTGCTTTAAGTGATTGATGAGTAATTTCAATTTTAAATATTTTGAAATTTGAGTTTTTTGTGATTTTGGATTTTGATGAGCCTTTTGGTAGCATTTTGAATTATTTGTGAACCCCTCCAGTTGAGCACTTCATTCAACACGGCTATTATTAAGCTGTTTGGGATCATTTCAATTTGATTAAACCTTATTGAACCTATCAATTTATCAATAAGGGATCATATTTTGTAGGCTTTGTTCATTTATTAGTGAATTCATATTGTTATAGGCCTTGAAGGTCTAATATGAATGTATTAAAATAAATATACCGGCGTCACAATTATATATTTTCTTGGTGGTTCAAACCCTTTCGAATCCTATTGATCCATATAAAAGGATCGGGATCGAACTTGAATTCACTTGTCGACCTGTGCAGCATCCCTAGACATCACGTATGTACCAATAATATGCTCGCCAAATCCCATGCGGGTGTTTGGGAGCATTTTATAATTATTTGATGAACCTTGTCAATTCCTATTTACCTTCTTTGGAGGATCAGGTTCAAATTTATTGACCAGTGCAGCATCCCTAGACATCACGTGTATACCTAAGACACGCTCGTTGAGGCCCATGCAAGTTTTTTTGTAATTGTACTTACCCCTTGTGTACCTATGCATAAACAAGTTATGATGTGCATGCAAGGATACTTTGAAACATTTGTAAATGCCTTCTATCTGCTTGCATGGATGTTACGGATCCGGTGGCATGGCATAACAGCTTCTAAATTGAGTTATTTGTTGCTTTGTACAGGTAGACTATCGTGCACTACTTACCGCTTTCAGAAAGTGGATTATAGTGCACTAAGAAATCTCCTACTTTATTATAGATGCTTGCATATATTTTAGTTCCCTTGTATCCTTCTCGTAAATAGTGTATTGCACATATTATAAGTTCCCTATAATGACCTGTTGGAACTTGCACTTGTTATTATCCTTTAGCATTTTCTCATGGGTGATTTCTATCATGTATAGTGGGCCTCTTAAAAGGGTCAGTAGGTATGTTTTGCATTCGATGCATTCCTTATGCATTTTTCTACAATCTTTGGTCTTCACAGTACTTCTGCTATTGCTACATCTACATTCATCGAGAACTCGTATGTACTGTAGATCTTCTATCCCTGATGGCACGCGGATTAGTGTGCTTATTTGTATCTTGATGTTGACTATGAGGATGCTAGAATACCCTTTCTACAAGAGTTTGCAGGTGTTTGTATCTGTTGCATGTCAGTCGTTGCATTAACTAATAGTTCTCTTCATTAGGGCTTCTAATCTTCAACATATAAGTTCATTGTAAATCTCATGTTGGCTAGCTATTGTGCTCCTGTGTTACCCTTCACAAAAGACTCATGGAGGTCTTGTGTGTCCACTTACATATCTTTCTTCTATGGTAGCAAATGACATATTGAAATGAGTCTCTTACATCATGAACAAGAGATCCCACTACAAATTCAATGATTTATACTTGTAGAGAATCAACTATGTTCACTAGAAGCATCGCATCTACTATTAATTTAATCAGATATACTGAGTTATTTTTGTTTATTATGTACTGCTTATTTACAATGAAGATGAGCCCCATGTTATTAGTTTAAAATTCTAGTTCAGCCCGCTATGGTCTTACTCAAAGTCGATGTTCATCTTGTTATTTATTTGTTCAATGTCAAGTTCAAGCCAACTCCTTATGCACATTCAAGCTCCTTTCTATTCGTTCAAGTTAAAAGGTAGTTTTTAGGTTCTCATTTATTATTCCAGTCCTATTCATTTGGATCGAATGAAACTCAATTTCAAGCTCATTTTAATTTTATTTCTCTTAGGTTCAAGCTTTTATTAGTCATTCGAGTTCAGAAGTATGTTCCCTGTTGTGCAAATCAAACTCAAGTATGAGTTCTCTCAAGTCTAGTTAAAATCAAGTTCTACTTCAGTTTGAGTTCAGGTCTCTTGTGTAGTTCAAGTTCCACTTGATTAGATTCTAATTCATTTAGATTCAATTTGTTATCATTCTCTTAAAAAGTTCAAATTAAATCTTTTATGTTCATTTAAACCAATATCAAGTTCATGTTCATTCGCCTTCGGTTCAAATTCAAGTCCAAATGCGGTCTTGTATTCTCCCAAAATTTTGACAGCCTTCCGGCGTCTCCCTCGTTTAAGGGAAAACTATAGAAAATTGGGCCACCCACCATGTTAGAGAAAAGTGTGTATGGTAGGTGCCCTCGTATGAGGACATCTCAGCCGTGAAATCTTCAACCCCACCACACTAGAGAAAGGCATATATGGGTCTTCAATACTTATTGCAAGAAAAGTAGTTGTTTCCTCGCAGGTATATAACCGCATACGGGTACTTAAAATTATCCTGGCCACACTAAGAAAAGCATGTACCAGGCTTACCCGCTTTGCCATAGGTTTCACACCATGTTCCCTTCCCACCACGCTTGAGAAAAGCATGTATGGACGATTTGCCAGCTCAACACGAACGCCGAGGACAAGATTTTGGGGTTTTAAGGTTTAGGAGTTTATACCTTTGTATAGTGGCGATGATGATGAGAAAAGATGCACACAAAATTCTTATTATAATTATAACTATAATTATAATCCTAATAATAACTTGTCATGATAAATGATAATAATAACTTATTATTATTATAGTTGATAATATATTTTATTATTATTATAACTAACAATAATGACATAAGTAACCATTATTATTGTACTTATAATTAATAATAAACTTAAGTATCAATAATAATAAAATAATAATAATAATCAATAATAAAACATAATTAATTAAATTTATTCCTAATAACCTAAGGAAGTCGGGCAAGAACGAACGGGAAGGAGTCGGCTTAACAGGCATAGTGGAGTTTGATTGAGATAGGGATCGGATATGGCTATAACTAGGAGCTCGATCGGTTGCAAGCAGGGGGGCGACGGAGAGCATGTGAAAGGCTTTGTTTGGGTCAGTCGACTCCAGCTATGAGAGGGAGGTAGGGCACGAATCAGAGGAGTATAAAGAGATCGGGGGGTCTGCAATCGATTTTTTGCCGTTGGGTTACACAGGTAAGGTGAAAGCGCGGGCGTACACACACACACACACTCTCTCTCTCTCTCTCTCTCTCTCTCTCTTTCTTTAAGCTGAGAGAATTAGAAGGTGGAGTGGGGAATCGGGACAGGGAGATTGGGTCTGGCCTTTAGTTCGGCTGTTGAGGTCAAAAGGATGGAGCGACAGACCGGAAGGCTTTGAGGAAGAGCGAAAGTTGGATGGGGTTAGAGGTTTAGACGTCAGAGAAGGAGAAAGAGGCTGGGGTCGTGTGCATGGAGGAAGAAGAGTAGATATGGGAGCTTCAATTGAGTGGCGAGGAAAGAGCTAGAGAGCATTGTGGGAGAGAAGAACAGCAAATGAGATCCTTTACTCTCATTTTAATGATACACAGCAAGAGCAGTGATTGTGGTAAGCATGGGATGATTGCAAATGGCGTCGAATCACAGGGTATGGGTCGCAACTGTAGAAGAAACAAGAGCAACAATTTGGGTGAAATTTTGCTACAGGTAATGATTTTCAAGTATTTTTTTTTTACGTTTTGTCTGTTTATTTTGGCTCTAGCAGATAGGTCAACTCCTTCTAATTGCTAGTTTTAGAAGGTTAGAAATACATAGCTAGGAATTTATTTTACAACTCATTTCAAGTGGTTATGGAGCCTATGAGTAAGAAATTCATCCTTATCTAGCTTTGTTGCTTGAGAAAAATGGAAACAAATGAAGCCTATTAGCATCATCACTAACACCATTAAACTTGACTGTTGTGTGGATTTCTGAGAAGCTAGCTAAGTATAGGTTGAGATCATTAACACCAGTTCCCCCAAATTGAAAATTTTGAAGCATCTGAATTAGGAAAGGTTTCAACTCAAAATTATTGGCATGGATAGTAGGTGTACCAAGACTATGGTTAATTTTATCTATTACAGAATTGATATATTCCCTAAGAGGTTTTTGATGGTCATGATCTTGATTTAGTTCAGCCATTCCTAATGATACATTCTACTAGATTTTTTTATTTTTGTAAGGATCCTTTCAATTTCTAAGTTAAACAAAAAGGGCTCCTTGCTAGCTCTACTACATATGAACCAATCACACAAAAATTAAATGAAAAAAAATAATTTAAATAAAACTTTTAACAATAATATATATTTTTTTAATTCGTGAAACAAAAAAAAAAAAAAACATGTAGGAATAAATATGTAGCACTTTTAACAGCATAGAATAAATTTGTTCAAAAGTGTGTCACTTCTCCAACAGTATCGCCAAAAACATGATGGGTGGGCAGAGGTGCATGAAATATGCTTAGATTTTTTTATATAAATGCCCACTAAGTGATGTAATTAAACATGTCGATCAAGTAATACAAGTTATATGAGAGAGTGTCAATCCCATGAGGAAGTGTTTTGCTACAATGCAAATGTGTTAGTAGTCCCTGTTTAAGCTACAATATTTATCCTATATAATAAATATCTTGTCTCAATTCTATCTTGATGAAGAAATGTAGAAGAAAGATAAGATAACATTAGGTAAATTATTTTGGATTAATGATAGTAAATTTTCAAAGCTTTCATATGTAGACTCTGCTATATTGGTTATGAATGAGAGCTTATGGATCCTTAGATCTTTATTGGGCTTGTGAGGAAGTAAAAGGAGATTTATGGCCCTCCTATAGTTATGACTTCTCAATAGAATTTTGATCACTAAATATCCTATGGCTATTGATGCAAGAGTTTTATTTTTATACTCGCAGTTATTCTAATATTCTTCTAGAAGCAATATATCACACTATATTTTAACTCTACATATGATTATTGTATAATTTAAATTAAGAACTGTAGATATTAAAAACATCTATTAATTCATTAAAGAACAAGTTTCTATATTAGTAATTTCTATGGCTTCACATCATTAGCCTAAAACAAGTAGTTTTAGCTTACCATGGTATTAAAATAGAATAAAAGAAATTTCATTGATTGCTCCAAAAAGAGAAAAAAAGGAAAAAGTGTAAATAGATATCACTAGGATAGTACAACATCACACTTGACATTCTTATCTTCTTCAATTGCTTTCTTTCACACAATAAGGTAGGTCAACCACTTCAATTTCTATATTGTTCTCTCCTCTAATTCCCCTTAGATTATACTCTAACATAACACTACACATAAGTACTTAGAACTCACTATAATGGTAGAACCCCTACAAGAAAAGATTGAAAAACTATTTATATTAAGGACAAAAATGGACTCAGGCACTGCAACACTAACATATTAGTATTACAACATTATAATATAAACTAATGCTTAGGCACTACTTAGTGTTTGGGAGCAGTTGAAAGTTTTGAAAAATAGGTTTTTAAAAGATTTGCTTTCATTGGAAATATTTAATTCAGAATTTCAGTCTCAAAATTGAACACATCACTATAAGAGATATTTCGCCTCAGGATGTGAATATATAATTCTTAAATGGGTTCAGATAACGAAACTAAAAATTTCATCCGTGCTATAATAATCAAGTTCAATGAATGATGACATATAACCCTGAAGGCTTAACATGATGTTATATCAAGCATCTAATTATAATAGTACAAATGGGAGATCATTAATTTCATATTAAGATGCTTGATTAGAGATGATATATCTTCCAGATGGAAGGTAATATCATCTACTAATTGATGATAATGATCATTGTTGATTTAATTTTTCCAAAGAAGACTAATTGAGTTTTAAAAATTAATTATATTTTTAAAGATGTATAAGCATTCTAAATCTCCTAAGAGCGTAAGCTCTCGCAGTTAATTACATCATAGGAATGTTGAATTTCCTATGAATACTCTCGATTAAAATAGCAGTAAAAATTTTATTTGGAGAATTTTAATGAGTGATGTCAAAGAAGGTGAATTGGGAATGGATCAAAATTGAACATTTATTTTCCGAAGTCAACAGAGGAAGTGTCTGATTGAATAAATATGAGGTTTATGGTTGATCTAGTCAACCTAAGTTGGCCTGGTCAACCAGGTAAAAGAAGGGTCTTGGTTTTGTATCAATAAGTTTAAATAGTAAAGGAGTTAATCAGAAGTTATTTAATTGATTGGTAAGCTAATTTGGTCTAAAATAGCTTTTTAAACCTTTAAGGGGCATTTTGGTCAACCCTAGTTAACTTGGTCAACCAGGTCAAACCAATACTTGAGTTTGGGTCCAATGAAACCAAAAACCAAAATGATATTTTGGATTCATTGGAAGAGGTTTGAAGGGTTGGAGAGATTGAACCATGCTGAGTTTTGGCCAACAGTCTCACAATCCGCTTAAAAGGCATTTTGGACATTTTGACCCCTAGTCAATTCTGGGTCAAAAAAATGTGGGTTATGTGTAAACATGTCATATTAAAGGCTTTGGAGATGGTCAAGGGTCTTGGAGAAGGCCCCAAGTTAAAATTATATAAGGTGGAAGGTCAAGTGGCATAGGTCAAAAATATTTGAGGGTTTTGTTGTCTTTGGAAATAGATTTAGTTTTTGGAGTTAAAGATATTAGAATGAGCTTTAATGTGAAGGGCTAACTCTAAAGACATGTCTGATTAATATGCAACTGATGGATCATGAATTAGAGGTAATTTAATTGGGTTTCAAAGTTATTGAAATTTTACCCAAAAAGGTTTATGGGACTTATAGGCTTTTGGCATTAGGTTTTGAATTGAAAATCTAAGTTTGGGTTGGATTATTTAGGTTTTGGAAAATCCAAATCAATCAAAGTCAGATGAATAATTGGGATTTATTGGATAAGAACAATGTTTGATTGAAAATTAGTTTGAACTTTGATTATTTGCAGGATAAGAGTTTGGGTGAGAATTAGATTGAAGGCTGGATTGAAATTTCATTGGCGACTATATGAATGACAAGTGGACAACTATCAACCATAGGATCACCAAGTAGGATTCTAGATAGGTCCCAATGACCTTATATAAAAATGAGTACAACAAATGGTCCCCCAATATGTGTAGTAGAATGAAGTTTCACTACACATATTGTCATTAATCGAATGGAATGGTAAGATTTGTAATATTTGATCCTAATGGAAGAGGAGATCTAGCCTTAGAGAATTAGGTAGAATAATGAACTAGAGTGGTGCCACAAAGTTCATTATCCACTACTAGTGATTATAATCCTAAGGGGAGAGAAAGTCTAACCTAAAAGGAAGAGAGAACGAAGGATTAGAGTGGTCCCATGAGGGGCGTTATCCACTACTAGTGATTCTAATCAAAAGAAAATATAGTACCTAACCCAAAAGAAAAGAAAGGTAGAAGGTAGAATAGGATGGTACCAAAAAGGGTGTTATCCACCACTAGTGATTCTATACCTAAGGAAAGGCAACACCAAATATAAAGGAAAAGAAAGGTAGAACTAGGATGTTACCGCAAAGGGTGTTATCCACCATTAGTGATTCTAATCCTAAGGAAAGAGAGTACCTAACCTAAAGGAAAATAGAGTTAGAAGGTAAAACTAGGATGGTGTCGCAAAGGGCATTATTAACCATTAGTTATTCTAATCCTAAAAATATGAAGCACCTGACTTAAAGGAAAACAAAGGTAAAAGGTAGAACTAGGATGGTGCATCTAAGGACGTTATCCACTACTAGTGATTTAAATCCTAAAGAAAGGAAGTACCTGACCTAATGGAAAATAAAGGTAGAAGGTGGAACTAGAATGGTGCCGTAAAGAGCATTATCCATCACTAGGGATTCTAATCCTAAGGAAAGGCAGCACCTAACCTAAGGGAAAAGAAAGGTATAAGGTAGAACTAACATGGTACCACATGAAAGTTCATGAAGGTTGTTAAACCTTTATGAACTAGACCTAGGAAGACCAAGAGATGGGGTGAATTAGATATTTAAAAAATTCTTTAGGAAAAATGAAATTCTTTAAAAAACATTTCAAACCCATTAACGACAATCTACATAGTGGATGTGGAAATAAGAAAATTTCACAACAATGAAATAAATCAGATTTTTCAACCACACATAATTACAGAAAGCTAAAGTACATTAAATAATCAAAATGAACACCAAAGTTTATATTGGTCAACCTTACTTATGTCCACTCCTTGGAGACTCCTCTAAGTATTACACTAAGCAGTAGTGACTCTCCTTTTTCTCTATGGCAAGGTGAAGAAGCCTGTACATATGCTATTTCACCACCTCTGTGTGGCAGAGAATCATAAAACTTTTATAAGAAGAGAATATCAACTCTATTTTCACCATGCAAGTGACTGTTAGATAACCACAACTCTATTTATGTCATCCAGGTGATGGTTAGAAATCCACAACTCTCTTTTCACCCTCTAGATGATGGTTAGAGAACCAAGACTCTATTTTTACCCTTCTGGTGATGGTCAGAGAACCACGATCTTTGCTGAAGAACTTCTTCTCTAGACTCACGGAGAATCTAGGGAGACGCATGTAGACACTAGACAAGATTCTTGCTTGGAGCAACCTTGCTTAAACTTTAAAAAATCATAACTA